GACCCGTCCGCGTCATCTCCACATGCGTGAGGCCTTCCGCCAGCCCGTCCATATCTTCTTGGGCGATCTCAGGGTCCGATCCCTCAGCATCCCCGCCAACGGCGGATGTCGAGCCGACCTCAGCAGCACGAACTGAGCTAGCATCGGCAGCCGCACTCGCCTGATAGGCCGGCCTCCCCGAACGAATAGCGTCGGCCATGAAGACGGGTCTAGGCGTTTGACGAGGCACATTACTCCTCTCATCCTCGGTTGCTACCGCCTTGCCCGTTTCAAGCCTCCGCCTTTTTCTCTCCTCAGGCTCCCCGCCTTAGGAAGGCTCATCCGCAGGCTGCGGATATGGTGTCGAAGGTGTCGCCTCATTCGTAGTCGCCTCCACAGGCGTAACCCCTTGTAAAGGAACTACGGGAACACCCTCCCTGACAGATGCGCAAAGTATCTCCCGAGCATCCGGGCCGATATCCGATCGAGCGGGGGGTAGATACTGTCGCCTTCTTCTTGGGAACGCTCCGACCTGTCGACACAAATAGTTCAGTTGATGAAGTTTGTGGAAACAACCGACTAAAGTCAAAGAATTACCTGAAGGTCCTACGGGGCCGTAGCGTTGAAGGAATGCGGACCATGTGCGGGTTTCTTCCGCGTAAGGCAGCAAACCGGCTACCCATTGCTTGATACCAGTGATGAACCGGGGTGCGTGAGCCATTGCTGCAAAATAAAAGGAAAAAGTCATAACGATGGTGCGACCAGAACCGCTGAGGTCACGTATGATGAAGAATTCGACGGATGGAAACGCTTACGTTTCGAATTCCACCTCTCTGGGAACCCGACAGGGTCAGACACCAGGTGCTCCGTTTTAATAAAGAAGTACCTACGCCAATAACCGCGGCTGGGTCGGTCATCGGTCTTGATGACCAGCCCCTTCGAACCACGGCTCTTCAAATGCAGCATGGTACCCCTTAGATAACTGGCGCTGAACAACTGCAAAAGGTGGTGGACGGAGACCTCGCACCTAGCCAGCTCTGCGTATGTAGACATTATCCTGCATACTTTTAAGGTGTACGGAGTAAGTTGGGATGGACACATGTTGTAAAAGCGGCAAAGCTCCTCCGCCAAGGGAAAGATGGGAAGACTATAACCAATTAAAAAAGGATATTCATAGAACGAGCAATATCCTGGTCTGTGGATGTTCGCATAATCCGTCCCCGCCGGGACCATCTCCACATGAGCAGGTATGCCGAACGACGTGAAAAGTTCATCTAAGTCATCCTGCGTTAACTCAGAACTCTCCGAGGGTTGCGCGGGGGAATCCTTTTGGAAGTCTCTCCTAACAAGAAGTTGCTTCGGTAACACGTTGTCCACGGTAAGGGGGTGAGTTCCTCTTCTCCATCTCCCTCATCACCGCCAGATGGAGGCGGTACATCGGATGGCGTATTATCAAGAGCCTTCGGATTATTATCCCGTCGGGGATTTACCATAATTTCTGTTCAGGAAACGGTGTATGACACAACGGAAAGTGTGATTTCTAAGAAACGGTAAGGTTTCGAAGAAAGGAAGTGCCTTCTTAGAAGGTCAGAAAATGCTTGCAAATGATCGAAAGTTGGATCAAGTTAAACCGTTCCCCTATTTATAGGGTTGGGTGGCGCTGAAATCGAAGAGGCGGGATTCAAACGGGCACGGGAAACCGAGCATCAGAACACCTTTTGTGCTTCCCCGGGAAGACGCGTAATGATGACGCCTGCGTGTGATGACGTCACTTTGAGAAAGAAATCGCGCGTCAGCATTTCAATAAACTCAAATGTTCACTCGTTCAATCTCATTCATGCAGCCGTCTTCAAGCATGGTCAAATTCTCCCAGAATAAGGTTCGCGGTTCCGTCCATCGGGGACGCACCTCGATGCGTCACCGACGAACGGAGGGACTAACTGTAATTCTGCCCATTACGTCTCCACGTTGGTAGGAACGACCAACGAATATACGCTAACCAAAGTGAAGGCACGACCTAAGAATGTCGGCGTGAAGTGTATCATCGGTTCCGTCGTCTCTCTCGAAGGGACGCGACCAATCTCTGTATTATTTTATTATTTTAAGGAGGGTTTCCTATTATATAAAGGAGGATCCCAATNAGACTATCTATAAAAGGGGGAATCACCCAATCAAAAGAGGGATGGAGCTTTTTAAACTCTCTCTCTCTCTCTCTCTCTCTCTCTCTCTCTCTCTCTCTCTCTCTCTCTCTCTCTCTCTTGAATATCCAATCTATTGGAAGCTATAACAAATATAATACACATACCAAGGTCTTATTATCTTCGATTATGATTGATCCTTGATTCACTTTGATTGTTCTCACTTATAAGGTATATAGTATCTTTTGAGTCAAACACTTTTAAGTTTATAAAAAATTTAAGGGTATTTTTATTATTTTAACAAAAGAATAACTTGTAAGTAGGCGAAATACATAAAGCGCCACTTTAAGTTGTCCTCAACGATCAACTGAGGCCATTTCCAGCTAGACACTTTATTTATTCACAAAAGAAGATCGACTAAACACCCGACCATGTCAGTCCCCATTGCGTGAAATGCACTCTCTAGGACACGAGTTGCCTACCTAAAATTAGGTTTTTTCTTTTTTTTCTTTCCTAAAATAATATGGACTCCACCTAATTTTCACACCTCCTTCTCCTCCAATTCTCTCCTCCACCATTCAACAGCCTCCTCTATCCTAAATCACCTCTGCCTCCATTACGAAAGAATGGAATTACCAAATATATCATCACACTGATAATAGGCTAAGTCTAGGTGATTTGGCGATTGTTTATGCTCTCGCTTGATTATGTTTCAATGTCATAATATGGTTAAATAATGAAAAATAGGCTCTAATTGTGAATTTTACACATTGCAGGATAGTGAGCCTATATGATGTCTTAAAATTGTGATTGGAGTCGCATTGGAGCAAGAAAGACCCCTCGGAGATGAGTGCGCGCAAAGATGAGACAAAGAATTGAAGAAAAATGGCCTGAACTAGCGCGAAGTCTAGTGCGAGGTCTAGCGCGTTCGCACTAGTCCAGAAGCGGGAAGCAGAATGTCAAGGAATTAGCGCGAACTTTAACGCGAACATTAGCGCGTTCGCGCTAGTTCCAGTTCCGAAAAAAGGTCTGTTAGGGGCAAAATCGGGAAATCCGGGAAAACTGCGCTAGCCCATTTTAGTTTATTATTTCCGGGACTAAGAATGAAACCGGGAAAAAACAAGAAAAAGAGAAAATGCACATATATTAGTGTGAACCCATAAATCTAAAGAGGCAAATTTCAAGAATTGGCCTTTTCTGGGGATTCAAGATTTCAGATTTTGCTAGTCAAAGATCTGTGGACTGTTGGAGAAAAAGAATTCAGAGACAAGAACTCAAATGAGTAAAAATTATGTGGGGTAGCCACTTTTTAAAGTGGTATTATTTTTTTTCCAGCATTTTTAATGCTGAGCAAAAGTAGCCACTAGTCTATTAAAATTAATATGAAAAGACAGTGTTACCCATTCCCTCCCAAACGGAAATACACTTTTCTTCTCGTTGCTGAGAGTAGCAGAGTGGGAAACCCAAGATGACTTTACTACCATCAATGGAAGAATTTGAGTACTCTACATTGTGGGTATTGCAAAACTAACTTTTCCAAAACTTCCTTGACCAACAGCTTCACCACGAACCCAATCCATGAGATGAAATTTGGTATTATTTTAGGCTTTTGTTTGGGTAGAAGAATGTGAGAGAACATAGTAGGCCGCAAGTCACAACGAACTCTGTTTTAACCCATGTTATTTATTTATATGGGATAGTTTTCCTATTTTTGTTTGGTTTTAGTTCCAAGTTCAAAAGTTAAGGACATCCTGAAGTCCTGAACTTACAATTACAAGTTCAAAAGTAAAGGACATGTAGTCCTGAAGTCCTGAACTTAGAGTTCCAAGTTCAAAAGTTAAGGACATGCAGTCCTAAAGTCCTGAATTTAAGTTCAAAAGTTAAGGACATGTAGTCCTGAAGTCCTGAACTTAGAGTTCCAAGTTCAAAAGTTAAGGACATACAGTCCTAAAGTCCTGAAGTTAAGCTCAAAAGTTAAGGACATGTAGTCCTGAAGTCTTGAAGTTAAGTTCAAAAGTTAAGGACATGTACTCTTGAAGTCCTCAAGTTAAGTTCAAAAGTGAAGTACATGTAGTCCTGAAGTCCTTAACTTAAAGTTACAAGTTCAAAAGTTAAGGACATGTAATCCTGAAGTAAGTTCAAAGGTTAAGGACATGTAGTCTTGAAGTCCTCAAGTTAAGTTCAAAAGTTAAGGACATGTAGTCCTGAAGTCCTGAAGTTAAGTTCAAAAGTTAAGGACATGTAGTCCTGAAGTCCTGAACTTAGAGTTACAAGTTCAAAAGTCAAGGACATGTAGTACTGAAGTCTTGAAGTTAAGTTCAAAAGTTAAGGACATGAGCAGAAGAGTATTTTCGTCTGGGCAGTTAAAATTTATTAAAGCAGTGGCTAAAGACTAAAGATATTTTAAACAGTGGCTTAAAAGTAAATACATGTGTTATTAGTGGCTAACCGTGCACTTCCCCCCTCAAATGATATACTAGTATTATCCAAAGCCCAGAAGCAACAAGTATCTATTCATTCAAATTTTGTCCATTTTTTTTCTTTTCTTTTTTTAAAATGACAAAATTACACGTGTCATTTTTTATTAGTCCATTTGACATCTCATTGGCAAGTGTAACTCACGCATATGATCTGATGTACCCGGCTGTTTACTTGACTTACTTAATAGCCAGTTGGAGTGTTAAAATGAAAAATGGCTCGATTAAGGTGTTCAGTTGATCGTTGAGTATAACTTGAAGGGCGTTTTATGTGAATTTTAACATTCATCTCCTAACACGTAACTACTTTGGTCTATTCACATAAAAAAGAGTTGAGATTATGGGGGTTATTTTGGTCTTTTCACAAAGAAAGTTGAGATTAGCGAATATCAGAAAACAGAAAACCACGCCGGTCTTCTTTTTCCCGTTCTTGTTGGTCAGTCCCATGAAAGTAATTACAGTGATGATTTCATAAATACACACTCACTCTGCTTCCTAACCTGTACCATATGCTACCTTTGTAGTACATTTCTGCTACATTCTTCTTTCTTTAATTGAATTTTTCCTTTCAGCTATCAGTAAGCATTTGAGCTGAATACAAAATCATCAGATTCCCATATGTCTAAGGTTTATCGCGTTAAAGGTCAGTACTTTCTGAAATACCATTACTTTATACTGCTAAAGGGTTTATCTTTTTTTTTTTTAAATATTTTTTTTTGTAATATAAATTTAAAGATTCTCATTTCTGATATTTCTCCTAGGTTGTTTGATAGAATTAAAGAGGAGTTAGTTTTTTTCTTCTTTTACCATTAATATTGTGTACAGTAATTTTTAACCCTAATAAGAAAGTTTATTACTAGCATCCAAGGGTGTGGTTTAGTGGTTAATTAAGTGGATACAAACCTTGGAGACCGGGGTTCAAGTCCGTACCTAAGGTTTGATGAGTAGACTTACCCGGTACTGTGCTGACAGGAGGTAGTAGGTATTCCGTGGAATAGTTGGAATATAGTCGAGGTGCGTGCAAGCTGGCAAGGACACTACCTAAAAAAAAAAAAGGAGAAAAAAGCCCAAGCTGGTCTGGACATTACTACTTGTAAAATTGTTTATAAATAAAGTGAATGTTGAAAAATATATGATGAAACTATATATGACCTTGTTGAAAGTGCAAATTTGACTTAAGGCATGCGATATGTTTTTTGGGACTTGAAAAATTGCAACTTCTTAGTGGTGAAGGTGGTAAAGCGGAAAGGCGTTTCTTTAAATGTTACATGACGTGAGTAGGAGGGTTGTAGAGCTTAGGAAATGTTCATGGATCAAGTGACATTGAGAAAGAGTTGATGGAAGTACACATAATGTTCTTGAAAGTGCAAAAGTTTTGGCTAAACGGGTGGAATGTGTCTATGCTGGGTTATAAAAGAATTGTGAGGGTGTTTGGCTAAGCTTATAAGCTGGTCAAACTAGCTTATAAGCACTTTTTGACTTATCTACGCGTTTGGTAAAATTAAAAGTGCTTATAAGCCAAAAATAAGCCAAAAGCCATAAGTTGGTCTCCCCCAACTTATCAAATTTCAGCTTATAAGCACTTTAGGTTTGATCAAAATATTTACTATTCTATCCCTAAAATACTTCTTTTTAAAACAAAACTCTTCGTATACCCAGTTCTTCAGCTGCTTATTATTAATTTCAGCACTTTTATCCAAACACATAACTGCTTATTTTTTAAATCAGCTTCAGCACTTAAAAGTGCTTTTCAGCACCTAATGCTTATCAGCTACTCTAAATCAGCTAAGCCAAACGGGCTCTGTAACTTGTTAGAGATAACAGTTGTAAGGTGGACTGCCAATTTGTTGAGGTGGTCGCACAACACATTAATAGGAGCGTGCACAGCCTGGAAACTCCGGAATTTCTAAAGTCAGAAATTTCTATTTCTGTCTTAGCTTATTGTGCACAAAAACTAATTTTACTTCCTTTTTTGGTTAATACATAATTTATGTAATGAAGACTGTTATACAGCACACACTAGGTGAATGAGGCATAAATTCTCCTGCTTATAATGAGTGACATGGTATTCGCCTTGGTAATGCTTGATTGGTTGCAACGGAGAGAAAGAGGAAAGAAACTAATCTCAATTTGTAAGCAGGAAAATAAGCATATCCGACAGCTTTTTCTGATCTATTTACCATGAGTATTATCACCAAAAACCATTTGCTTCCTTTTAGGTACTAATTCTTTTTATAAATACAATTATGAATTCTGACTTAGATGTCAGAATACTTTGGTGTAATAGCAGTTTGGTAGATAATACTGATCATTACATGGATTTTATGGAGCTACTTAGAAAATGTTGTAATTAACTGTATGGATATTCCCAGCAGTTTTGTACTCTTTTCTGGTACCATCTTGGTATCCAGTTAGTAAAACTTTACCTTTTCAAAAAAAAAAATGAATTCTGACTTAGATGATAGTTATCTTAGAGAAGTCAAAGGATGTGATTTTCATAGTAGAAAATGCTTTAAGGGAAGGTAACCGGTACTTTCTAACTTTATAGTTTCTGGGCTGGTTGTATCCTTGCATCTTAGAAACATACTTTGAGTCTTAAGTAGTATATGATAACTCAACTGTGATATGTAATGGTTCTTGCAGTAGGAAAAGTCTCTATTGTTGAATTATCATCCGTTTTACTATTGGTTGAATCATCATTTGATTAAACTGTGATGACAGTTCTTCGTAAGAGAGTAGAGAGGGCTGAGCGGAAGCGAATGCAAAACTATAAAGTGCACCCGGAGCGACTATCTGCGCTTGAAGAATTGCTTAATGAGATTTATACAATTTGCCGCCCTAAACCAAGTGATTATGAACTTAGGAGAGATTTGGTTTCTGTCTTCAATGAGATAGCAAAGGATATCTACGGTAACCTCTGCAACCTTTTTATAGTGTAACTCAGCAAATGGATCCTCTGCACTAGCTTGTAGTAGCTTTGTTATAAACTTAATAAACTAAACAAATTTGATTGGGTAGGCTATTTATTTGATTGTTTTTTTTTTAAATATTACAGCATGATGTGACAGTTTCTCTTTTTTTTTTAGGACGTTCTGGTAATGTTCCTGTTGTGGAGGAGTTTGGATCTTTCGTAATGGATCTATTCCATTCAAAGAGTGACCTAGATATCTCTGTTAATTTTGACAACAGTTCAGTTAAGATTTCGCATGAGAAGAAGATTCAAACTCTCAGGAAATTTGCAAGGAAGTTATATGCACTTCAAAGTAAATGTTTGAGTTAATTCCTTTTTTTTCTCGAACATATTTTAGAAGAAAAGTAGATTAACTGCTTTGAATGTTTACTAGGTAAAAAGTTATGCTGTCCCTTCCAAGAAATGGCTATTTCCATTAGTAGAAACAATTATATAAAGCTTTTCATCTATTTTTTTCTGTGCTTCAGGAGATGGGCATGTTTCTGGTGTTCATCCAATAACAGCTGCCAAGGTGCCCATTCTGAAAGTTGTTGATTGTGGAACGAAAATTGAGTGTGATATATCAGTTGAAAACAGGGATGGAGTTTCAAAGTCTAAGATAATCCACATGATTTGTTCCCTCGATGAAAGGTTTCAGAAGCTGAGCTTTTTGGTAAAATTCTGCACTCTCTTGTATGTTATGAAATATGGACAGTTGTTCATGAGACGAAGTTAAAGTTTAGTTCTGCTTGTGCTATAGTCTGGAAGATCTCTTAAGTGATTCTTTACAATAAACACGAATGTTTCAAAAAGAAGAAAGATGGAAATTAAAGTTGTTGCTTGGACAAGGACTACTAAATACATTTTTTGGTTTACGTTCTGATAGTATACCCCTTCCCTCTGGAACCATGGTCTAGTGGTCCAAATGCTCATAAGTTCTTCTTGCTATATTAATTACCTTTCTCTCAAAAAATTGCTCATCGGTTCTAGTTCATAGAAGAAGATACAGGGGTCAACATATGTATATGCTGATAGATATCTTTAGTTTGCATCATTGCATTTACGTCCTCAGAAGATATGATCTCTTGTTTTTGCAGATGAAAGCTTGGGCAAAAGCGCAGAATATTAATAGCTCAAGAGACAAAACTTTGAACTCATTATCTATAATACTTTTGGTTGCTTTTCATTTACAGGTATGAGCTGAGTACAAATTGTTTCTCTGTTGCTATCTTACTCTTTGTTTCTTGGTTGCATATTGTGGAATTCATGTGCAGATTACTTTGAGTCAATATGAATTTTGCCTTCAGTTGAATGTTTTGTCACTGTGGTTAATCAGTCTGAGCGTAGGAGCTACTGGTGAACTAATAGTTTACATAACCATACACAGTTCACTCTACGGTGAAATCATATTATTTGATTCTAGTCTGCTGTGGTTTTTCAACTTATTCAATGCTCTTTCATGATTATGTTGCCTTTAGCGTCCTGTATTCCAATAGGGACCTCCATTCTAGAAATTTCCAATGCTATGGGATACAATACCTTATATGAAAGCTACTCTAAGCACAATAAAATTCCCAAATTTAAAAGTGTGCTTTGAACGCCAAATTTATGCACCCTCTTGTACAAGTGATGTTTTTCTTGTAAACTTCTTTATTACTGGATTTTACCTTTTTTTTTTGTCAATTTATAGAAAAAGAAAAATGTAAAAGTCTATACCAATAGCTTATTTAGTGTCTTCTCAATTTCTTTTCCTCATAGCCTTAGCTTATTCAGAATAACTTTAATGTTTCTGCTGCCTAGTTAGGAATTATGCCTTTTGATTTAAATTCGAGGAGGATATATATTTTGAAAGCCTTGCCTTTTTGTTTGTTTTGCTTTTTCTGAAAGGAACTTTATGTGTGCTGAAAAGTATGTGTAGATATCTCATTCCTTTATAGAGTGCTATTCATGTAGTTGTTTGGTTAATAATCTGTTCTTTTTCTCATTTGGGCTCATATGAACGTCTCCATCTATTGAATGAACTTTGCAGACACGAAATCCTCCAATACTACCGCCATTTTCTGCCATATTAAAAGGTAATGCTATGAATCTTTGTTCAGTTTTCAAACGCCTCTTGATAGGTATTTACTAATTTCAGTATCGGTATTCGGTACACAATGCAGTGAAGTACTGTATTAGCAAAACAAAATTCCCAAAGCAAAATTCCCAAGAATGAGGGTCAAATAGGAAATCCTTATATCCTTTCAGTCTGCTATAGATAGTGAGGAATTTAAACCATCTCAATAGACTAGATTCTAAATTTCAAGAAAAACATTGTTGAGATATTTTACTCAAGTAGATTCTAATTGATGCTTCTTAATGCGCTATTTTTTTTTTCATGAGATTTTTGGTTTTGAGTAGCTTGGTAATATTTCTTGGCTTGGGAATGTTGTAGATGGCTCTGATCCTGATTCAGTGGAAAAGTCGTTGAATAAGTTTGTGAACTATGGGAAGAGCAACAAAGAGTCAGTTGCTGAGCTGCTAGTTACTTTAATAATCAAGGTATAGTGAATTTTTTCTTTAGCCGAGGGTCTATTGGAAATAGCCTCTCTGCCCTTCCAAGGTAGAGGTAAGGCTGCGTACATGTTACCCTCCTCAGACCCCACTCATGGGAATTTACTAGGCTTCTTGTTGTTGTTGTATAGTGAATTTAGCAACTCTGGCCTTATCTTGAAGTGTGCTAAGTATTGTTTCATTTCATTGCAGTTACTGTCGGTCGAGAAACTATGGGACAAAGGACTATGTGCAAGCACCTATGAAGCATCTTGGCTATCTAAAACATGGGATTCTAAAGTTTGCTGCATCAGTGTAGTTATATTTCTCTTTTTAGTGTCTTTTCTGCTTAGAAAATCTTTGAGGTGCTAAATTAATGTCTAATAGTGATCTTCACAGGTTGAGGATTTCACGGATCAGTCTCAAAATGTTGCAAGGGCTGTTGGGAAAGGAGAAGTAAAGCAGATATACAAGTGTATCCAGCGTACTAGCGAATACATCTCTGCTTATATGGATGGCCTCGTCGAACTACCAGCATTACGATATCAATTATTCCGCCATGCTGCTGCTCCCTTTAAAGTGGATTCTCAGACCAGTAACATTGAAGAAAATGGAAATAGCATCACACTTCCTTGTAGAGATATCAAGAATAAGGAGGATCAAAGTACCGAAGGCCAGAAAGAAAGTCAGGGGGCTATACCTTCTGAACCTATCACGACGAAAAAGAAATGGTCTAGCGAAGGTTGGGAAGGATTAGCTTCTGAACCTATCACAACCAAGAAGAAATGGTCCACCGAAGGTTGGGAAGGATTAGCTTCTAAACCTATCACGACTAAAATAAAATGGTCTACTGAAGGTTGGGAAGGATTAGCTTCTAAACCTATGTCGACTAAAAGAAAATGGTCTACCGAAGATTGGGAAGGATTAGCTTCTAAACCTATCACGGCCAAAAAGAAATGGTCTAGCGAAGGTTGGGAAAGATTAGCTTCTAAACCTATCACGACCAAAAAGAAATGGTCTACCGAAGATTGGAAAGAATTACCTTCTGAACCTATCACGGCTAAAAAGAAATGGTCTAGCGAAGGTTGGGAAGGATTAGCTTCTGAATCTATCACGACCAAGAGGAAATGGTCTACTGAGGGTTGGGAAGGATTCGCTTCTAAACCTATCACGACCAAGAGGAAATGGTCTACCGAGGGTTGGGAAGGATTCGCTTCTAAACCTACCACAACCAAGAGGAAATGGTCTACCGAAGGTTGGGAAAGATTACCTTCAGTGACTTGGGGACAGTCAAAGGAGGATGGTTTACCACCTGACTCTCTCTGGACAAAAAGAAAAACATCAGAAGAAACCACAGGAGGAACTTCTTCTGCTCAATGGTTGAGAAAATCAGACACAAAACGTTGGTTCGCAAGAAAGAACAACAATAAGTGTGCACCTAAGGCTAAGTGGTCAAACACGCAGACACGAGGTTGAGGAGGAAGACGATGAACCATTTGATTCGATGGCTTTGGCTTCTGGTTGGTTGAATCGCTAGCTAGTTCATACCAACTTCTTTGATTTGTCCTCGTTCATACGCCAGAAGTATTTTGCGCGTATGTAGTTGAATCATCTGCCCATCAACTTTTTCATTCTTGCTAGGACTTAAGAGTATGTTGTATGACCTAGCTTCCCCTTGTTTTGTACTTGTTTTGTTAGGACATTTTTGTACAGGCAATGACCTAACAAAATGGAGTATTAACTGCTCAATGTACATTAGTTCTATGTACCTAATGAACATCAAGTAATGGAAGTGTAACAACAACTATGACGTAATCGTTAGATGATTTCTTTCCATCTGCCTATGCTAGCTTGGCGGCTAGAGTTACCTGATACTTAGCAAGTAATCAGGCGCATGCAAGCTGGTTTAGACTCTACCATTATAAAAAACAAGGAAATTGACAAACAAAAACAATCAATAAGATAATTCCATCACATTTATTTGATAACAGAAGCTAAAATCCAAAAATAAAAGACCAAAACAAACAAGGTTTTAAGTTCAAGCTGAAATAAGTAAATGATCTCCAACATAGTCTGATATAAAGGGTCTCTAGATTTTCTCTCCTCTAACAATGTTTATATTTTCTACTATAGATTTGGCATCCATTGATATGCCAAATAGCCCTCTTTTTGAAAAACCTGCACAGTAAAGCCCATTCTCTCCTTTCCAATGGTTTGGAAATTCATTTATCAAAGTTCCATCATCAAGGAAAATGGAGCTATAATCCTGCAAAGAATATTTCAAAAATTTTAGAAGAAAAAAATAAAATAAAAATACGGTTTAAGTTCTATACAATGACAATATAAGTTAGAGTCATAATTACTTAATAATAAGCAAAAATCATAAGTTGAAAAATGAGGCAATAACTTTCTACAATAAGTTAAATTATACTGATGTCTAAAGTTTCATTTACGTAGATACGAGTTAAATATATAAAATAATTATGTGAATGAGAAAAATGCATTAAGTGAACACACACACATATTCATGTTTCCTCTAAATTAAACATGTTTAGGAATCTGTATTTAGAAAACTTACTCTTACACCATACATCTACTAAGGTAAGAGTCGAATTTCTTTCAAATTAAGTAGAAGAGCATCAAAATATTATGTGAAGTCAAAATTCAGAAAAAAAGTGGAACAAGATAAGTTTAACTTCTAACACTGACAACAACGTAAAAGAATTTTTACACTCAGAGATCACTTAAAAGATAATTACAGGTAACTATCCAAAGTAACCTGGAAAATAAGGCAAGTTACTGGTTGACATATGTTAATATAAAGAATAATATTGTGTATACAGTCAATAGTTATAAATTAAATCTATGTGGGACTTTCCGGCACGAATTCAGATTTAGTCTGGCCCAATATGACTACCAGACACCGGATGAAAAACCATAAAAAGAAATTCCATTTAGGAGTAGTTTCTATTAGGCAAGTGGAGCAATTTCAAGACTCAAACATATAGAAAAACCATAGAACAATTAAAACAAAGAACAAAATTTTTTTAATAACTGTTTTTACTATGGCAGCCCAGTACACAAGGTATTTCGCGTTCATGCAGGGTTTGGGGAAGAGCCGAACCCTAAAGGGTATGATGTAGACAACATAACCTAATGCAAGCATTAGTGGCTGATTCTCGACAATTTATAATACGTACCTTTAGCCATTTGGTAGCTGCATTCTTGTATCCAGTAGCAAAAATTATTGCATCAACTTGATGTTCTTCCCCATTGTCAAAAACTACTGTATTTTCCTTTATGTTTGATATTCCAGAAAGTACCTAAACATTCACCAAAAATGATTTCACAAAAACCAGCTTGCCAATCAAGTGTTTTCACAAAAAAATATCAAAGTAAATCAATAAACTAAAAGAATTTAACTTCTATATATTAACAGTAAAAGAATTTTACATCATCAAGTCACCTAAAAAATAATTACATACAACCTGCTAGCTACAAGATGCTAAATTTTACTTATGGTGTAAAAATTATTTACACACTGTAGTATTATATGTTAAATCCTAAACTATATTTAGCTAATGGTAAGCTTCATGATTTCAAAAGGTAATCAAGCCATCTCTCTCTCTCTCTCTCTTTTTTAATTGAGAAATTTTCAAGGGCTAGTGGTGCACAACTCAAAACTCGTTGGATAATGAACCTATCCCTCTATCCTTCTTCACTTTAACACTCAAGGGCGGAGGGAGAGTAGAAGCTACGGGTTCGACCGAAGCCGATAAATTTGGTTCAAACTATATATTTACCTTAAGAAATTCATTGAATATATATAAATTATTAATTTAAAACCCAGTAATCTCTCCAAGTTTAATCTTGTCAATAGCACCAACATCAATTACTGGGGATCTACCTTTTGATATTTTGATATAAAATAGGCCTTCTTCTGGTTGAGGTATTGGTTTATTGGTTTGGTTTGGTCTTTAGATTTAATAACCAGACACAATTGGTTTGGTTTGATAATTGTAAAATCCGAACCAACCCGACCTATGTACACCCCTAGATAGTGGTGCACAACTCAAAACTCGTAGGATAATGAACCTGTTCCTCTATCCTTCTTCACTTTAATACCCAGGGGCGGAGGGAGAGTAGAAGCTGCGGGTTCGGCCGAACTCGGTATTTTTGGTTCAAACTATGCATTTGCCTTAAGAAATTCATTGAATATATATAAATTATTGATTTAAAATCCAGTAATATAAAAGATTGGAAGCTTGAACTCATAAGCTTCAAATCCTGGCTCTGTCTTTATTAATAACGGACTTTTGCCTAGAGCAGAGTTTGAACACATGACGTTTGCCTGATCAACACATCACGAGTTGCACGCTTACCACTAGACCAATACTCTGCGCGTGGCCAAATCATTTGCAAGCCACATGTTTTTCACATGATATTTTTACAAAATAGAATGAAAATTTTTGTACTCTTACCTTAATCTCTCCAAGTTTAATCTTGTCAATAGCACCAACATCAATTACTGGGGATCTACCTTTTGATATTTTGATATAAAATGGGCCTTCTTCTGGTTGAGGTATTCCTAATTTAGCCAAATTTCCAAATCTAAACTTAGCACATTTTGCAATCAGAGTATCCACCAAAGATATTGGTAAATATTTTAGTAATAACATTCCAGTATGCACCATCTCCCTTGTTAGAACATGAATCTGTAAACACATTAAAAAAAACATTAAAATAAATCTTTTAGAAAAAGGTAATCAACTAATTAACAACCATATTAAATATCAGATAGTGGATATGGAAATTTGCATAATCTATCTTTTGAAAATTGTTTATAGCACTGTGGGATAACATTAAACTATAATGTACATACACGAGTTTAAGTTTTCTGCACTGATGGTATGAAAAAAATTATACAATCAGATCAATTATAAGGTAATTACAGATAAATTTCTACGATAAACATTAATAGGTAACCGCATAAAAATGATGATGAACATGTTATTTATTATAGATGTTAAACTACATACATTACTAGTGTAAATATTTATTCTATGTTGTCGGTGTATATAATTTAAATATGATACAAAATAAAATACTTTCATCACAAGGGTATAATATGAAATTCCTCCTCACTCAACCTTTCAACATTTGAAAATTTTCAGATCCAAATTTGAATTATTAATTTTCGACCTCGAGATAAAAATGTACATCATTTTGCTTTCATTTCAATGTAATTTATAGTTGTATACAAGATACAAAGTTAAGATCAAGTTGAATTTTTGAACTCCTAAGATGTACATTATCATTTACGACTCTTAAGATAAAATAATATCTCAATGATTAATTTTGAATTGTCTACTCTAATAGGTTATATAACAAACATATTGCTATCTCATGAGAATCAATGTGTTTTTTTGGGTGATTTAATTAAAACATAGTCGGTTTTAATTATATTTAAACATTTATTTTTGTTAATTTAAAATACGAATAACTAAAACAAAAAATACATATAATTATGATTTTATCATATTTTCATTCTCCTCTCAAGAATAAACTAAACCAACAAGAATGATTCTAGAGAAACTTGAGAACATATGATAAAAATTTCTTGAAATTTGGATAATGTTTAGAATGACAACAAGAAGAAAATATACGTAGTTATTCTATTGCACTCTAATTAATGCACTTTCGTCTAAGAAAAAAAGCATGAATGATAAAAGACATTTGAAGAAATTATAATGTGGGAAATGACCAAAAGAATAATATCAAAATTGATTGGAAAATATATCCATTTGTGTGGTGTATGTGAAATACTAGAGAAATATCTATATAAATTTAATCGTGAGAGAATAGATACATAGAAAATACAATGATAGGTGAGGAGGTCAATGGCTTATGTCACTAATGTAATGAAGTAGGGTGAAGGGCACTCTTTTTAACCATTATGGAATATTTGGTGCGAAATTGTCGCCCCTTTCCTTATTTCGTTGATAATAGAGTTAGCTTCTTAAGCAGACCGTTTCGAATATTTTCTAGGAAAAGAAGAAAACACTATAATAACATATATGTATTTCATTTTCTTCGATATCCTTTTTATTGCTTTGTGTAAGGTTGCATCGAGAGGTACTGCTTGCTATTTAAGAATTGCTTCAAGGATCTCATTGATGCTTCTTGGAGCTTCTTTGGAACTATGAAGTCAAGTAAGAGAAAAGTGCCACGTCATTCCATATATGGAACAAAACATATAGGCCCTATATATGAAACGACGATTTTTGTGCAGCTGCTGCACCCTTGCTTCTTGCTTTAGAACATATTCGAAGATTCGATCATTCGTATGACTTCTCTTGCACAATCTTTTCCATGTTAAGCGAACAACGTGCATGGCCGGATAACTCTGTAAACCTAGAGATGGAGAACGGGGATAATTCATCAACTCCATAAATTCAACTCTTTCCACCATAGAATCAACTTCAATGCAAATTCAATTGCACCCTAAAAAAGAAGCCAACTTCATATGCATGCCCCATGTATTAGTCTTTGTAGCCATATAATAAGTTGAGGCAAGAAAAAGCTATCACTTAAAACATGTCAAGTGTATGGCTAGGCCAATAACAAAAGTTTCGCAAAGGGACTGGAGCAGGCTACCATAAGACAAAAGATCTTCCAATCTTTAGTGTGCATATCCTTCTTTATCTAGAAGATTATGCAAAGATAAATTACCTAATAAGGAATTTGGTATCAAAATAGTCTCAATAAGGTACTATTGCACTAACTCCAATATTTACTTTGCATCACCTCTATGACAAGTGATAAATGTTGCATTATGTTTCGGGCACTTGGCGGCACTAAACTATATTTCCATCATTTTTGAGAAATGCGCGAACAATCGCCATTTCCCTCTTTATTAACCAAAGGAAGGCCTCCTTGTAGCTTTCTTGAGCTGATATCAATAGGGCATCTATATCTCTTATATTATCAATGAGGCATCTGTATATCTTATATTATCTTGCCTTGTCAACCCTCATTATTAACCAACGGAAGGGCCCCTTGTAGCTTTCTTGAGCTCATATCAATGCGGCATCTATATCTCGTATATTATCAATGGGGCATCTATATCTCGCATATTATCCTGCCTTGCCATCCCTCTTTATTAACCAACGGAAGGCCTCCTCGTAGCTTTCTTGAGCTAATATTAATGGGGTATCTATATCTCGTATATTATTAACTGGGCATCTATATCTCGTACATTATCCTGCCTGATCATCCCTCATTATTAACCAACGGAAGGCCTCCTCGTAGCTTTCTTGAGTTGATATTAATGGGGCATCTATATCTCGTAAATTATTAATTGGGCATCTATATCTCGTATATTATCCTGCCTTGTCATCCCTCTTTATTAACCAACTGAAGGCCTCTTCATAGCTTTCTTGAGCTGATATCACTAGGGCATCTATATCTCGTATATTATTAATAGGGCATCTATATCTCGTATAGTATCCTGCCTTGCCATCCTTCTTTATTAACCAACGGAAGGCCTCCACGTAGCTTTCTTGAGCTGATATCAACGGGGCATCTATATCTCGTATATTATTCTGCCTTGTCATGCCTCTTTATTAACCAACGGAAGGCCTCTTCGTAGCTTTCTTGAGCTGATATCACTAGGGCATCTATATCTCCTATATTATCAATGAGGGGCATTTATATCTCGTATATTATCCTGCCTTGTCATCCCTCTTTATTGACCAACGGAAGGCCTCTTCATAGCTTTCTTGAGCTGATATCACTAGGGCATCTATATCTCGTATATTATCAATGAGGCATCTATATATCGTATATTATCCTGCCTTGTCATTCGAGTATATATAGGGTTAAGTCTACAAGGGTCGTGCAACATTAGCCCCTTCTTTTTTTGTTATGTGCCTAAATTAGCCCCTATAAAGTTATGTTTATGGTTGGATTAAGAAAAGTATCAGCACAATAATGATTTCGATGTGGTATGGATTCTTGCCTAAGTTGAAATAATATATTGATTAAAATAAAAAGAATTCTTCTCCCTCTATATCTTCCTCTTCTAGCCGAACCATCAATCTTTCCGCTGCTCTCCTTCTTCAAAACCAAGAATCACCACTTTTTCTTCGTTGACACAGGCGGAATCAAAATTTAAATTTGATGAATTCGTCATTTGAATTTCTTAATACTGTATTGTACGTTTAGAATTGTGAGTTCAGATCTAATATTTTTGATAGAAATTTCAGGCTGTTTTCACATTAATAAAACGACCTCAACCAACACATACTCAGTAGAGGCCACTTTTACTCAAATAATGTATTTGGTATTTAGAATTCATTAAATATGTACAAATATTAAATTTAGAACCCAATCATTAATATTTGAAGTCGTCGTTCTAAAATCCAGAACTCATAATGTTAAAATTCAGACTCCGTCAACTAATTGTAGGTGAAGCAAATCAAATCTATTTTCTGAGAAAAGAATATTAAAGAAACAAAACTGCAACCCCCGGTAAATATCAAGAGGTTTTATGAGAAATTAAAATTGTCGAAATGAGTTGTGGCTTGTAAATAGGAAAGATGATGAGACGATAAGGGAAAGATATTCACCATATTAGATATTCTTTTATTTATTTATTTACTTATTTGCTAATAGCTATGCTAGAAAAGCTGTTAATTTTTTTTTTTTTACTAAAACCACTTTATTAAGCAATTTTAGTGATTATTTTCCTTTAGAAGTTATTCCTATATAGGTTGGTTTTCCTTCCTATATTCCTTAGAAAGGAAAAAGAAATTAAAAAATTTCCAACCAAAAAATTACAAGTGAAATATCAATTAAATCAACAAATCCGTAGTTAAGGGTGTGACCCAGCATTTAATAATGCAGTTGGATAAAAATCATAGACGACTAAGGTTCAAACCATAGAGCTGATGGTCTACCAGAAACAATATCTCTACCTCATAAAGGTAGAGATAAGATTTGCGTACACATTACTCTCCCCCCAGATCCCACTTGTGGGATTACACTGATAAGTTTGTTGTTATTGTTGTCGTAAATGACTATGGTTCAGGGGCGGATGTAGTGTGTCTCAACGGGTCAATTGAACCCATAACTTTCGACGCGGAGTAATTTTATGTAAAATTTCATTAAAATTGCAAAAATAGTAGATACGAACCCATAACTTTAAGAATATAATGGTTCAATGCTAAAACCTTAGAAGTTGAACCTATAGAATTTAAATCCTGGATCCGCCTCTGCTAAGCTTCAAATCTTAGCAGAAGCAACGTTAAGTTATATTCTTCCTATCTGTCGCTTGTTGGGCAAAGTTACGCGATACATGTGCCAGTGAGAAGTAAACCCAGTAAAATAATTTAGGTGCAAACAAACTGACCCGAATACTACCGTTATCATAAAAATAAAAAATTTCACAAACACAAACCTACATGCATGCAAAAAAGAAAGAATCAATTCAAGGGTAAAGAGGTGTACCGGGCTTCTAACAACAATTGAAGTGCAACTCTTATAATTTGAAAGATCATAAGCAATCTCCATTCCAGAATTTCCAGAACCAACAACTAAAACTTCTTTTCCTTCATATTTTTGACCTGATTTATATTCACTTGAATGAATAATCTCTCCTTTGAATTTTTCAATTCCTAGCACTTTTGGTATATAACCTTCACTGTTTTCACCACTAGCCAAAACCAAGAAATCACTAGCATAAATTTCCATTTCTCCACTAGCCACATTTCTTACTTTGATATTCCATTTTTTCTCTTCTTTTTCATAAAATGCCATCTCCACACAATGTTGGAATTTTGGGTTGATATTAAAATTCTCAACGTACTCATCTAAGTATTGAATAAACTCATTTTTTGACAAGTATTTTGGTGCTGAATTTGCATGTGGCTTCAAAGGCAATGAACAAAACTCTTTAGATAAATGCAAGTGAAGTCTATCATAAGTCTTTTTTTTCCATAAATAGCCACAACAATCTTCTTTTTCTAACACAACATTTTTTATAGCCAATTTGTTCAAACAAGCTGAAACAGCTAAACCAGCAGGACCAGCTCCTACTATAATCACTTCCACTTCTTTCTTTGCAAAACTAGCCATTAAAATTTTTCAGAGAAAGAGAGAATTTTTTTGAGAAACTTAGACAATGGTGTATGTATGGACCGCACAAAGCAGAAAATTGAGAATTCTTTTTGCTGGTTTTATGTCACAAAAACAACCGTTACATGTAAGAAAATAGTAGATTAGAAGTAAGACTTGGAATTTTGTCTTTAAGTGTATGAAAACTTTGCATGGTTTCATCTAGTTTGTTTTACATGGAAACAATTAGCTTGGTTTCTTCCTCTTTCTTCCTCATCTCTAATTTAATTACTCTATCCGTTTCATTTTATGTGAACCTTTCGTTGGAAAATTATATTGTATTATAGGTCAAATATATGTGTAACTGTAACAATCCATTTATGTGACGGTGGTTGAATATAGATATTTTTGGACTATAAGGAGGAGCCACATAAGCTCGAGGGTGGTCGGTTGAACCTTTCGTTGGAAAATTATATTGTGTTATAGGTCAAATATATGTGTAATTGTAACAACCCAGCCTGCTAGTGATATTGTCCGTTATGAGCTTAGGCCCTCACAGGTTTAAAATGCGTCACTAGGGTCTAAGGCTTGTTAACTTATACACCCAGCATTCCACTTGTGTTTTGCCGATGCGAGACTCTGTCTAAAGTTTGGGGTGTTACATACACCCCTTCTTATGGACTCTGCGTCCTTGCTGAGGTTTGCCCCACCGCATGGGATTCGCCTAGACTCAGCACTGAGGTTTGCCTCGCCTAACCGGGATTTGCCTAAACTCAGTTGAACTCTGACCCACCATCGACAAGACTGACATAAGAGTGGCTCTGATACCATCTGTAACAGCCCACATCTAGTGACATTGTCGCGTAAATAGCAGGGACTAGCCAGTTTTCGGACTGATAATTGAAAATAGCTAGCTTTTGCAAAGTCATTGAAAAATAGCCACTATTTTACTGCAACACGAAAAGTTCCAGCATAATATACTGGAGATTGGAGCACCTATGTATGAATGCTGGAATATTTTTCGGATTTTGAACAGTATTTTCGTTCAAATTTATCTTTACATGAAAAGTGGTTAAATTTCAATTACTTTTGAAATTGTGACTATTTTTCAATTACCACTTGTAAATCCGGCTATTTTTGAATTTCACCGCTTTGGGCCCTCACGGATTTAAAACGCGTCACAAGGGTCTAAGGCTTGTTAACCTATATACCAACATTCCTCTTGTATTTTACTGATGTGGGACTCTGTCTAAAGTCTGGGGTGTTACAGTAATAAATCTTGAACATGAAATTCTTGGCTGCGCCATTAGCTATAAGCGTGTGTCATGTAAAGGTAAATGAAAAATTTAAAGTTAAAGAATTTATAAATATAAAAATATATCTTTCTCTTTTAAACGGATTAAAAAGGATAATAATGTTACATAAAAATGGAATATGTAACGGAATAAGTAATAGTTGACGTTATTTAGTAGCCAGCCTGGGGTTGGGCTGTGTTTTTTGTTTGCTTTCAAAAAATTTGTTTGAAGTGTAAAACAGTAAATTCTTTTTTCCTTTCTGAATTAATTTGTCTTATGTTATTAATTGATGCTAATCTTATACAGAAGCCATTTATAACAAAATCTGAGTTTGATTTCCTCAAATTTTTGTTAGATGTAAAAGCATTTAATTGAAAGTTAGCTTTGACTTACGTATTGTTTGGATGGTTGTTACCCATCGTATTGTATTGTATTGTTATCCTAGATACAATGTTTGTTTTGATTGTTAATATAAAACTGATTGTATCGTATTGTGAAGTCCATTGTTCTGGAACAATGAAAAGTCCCATTTTATGAAACAACCAAATTGGTGTGGTGGGATTGTTCCGTATTTTTCTTTCCAATTACGCCCACACTTATTATTCAATATTTCAATTTTAGCCTTTACCCTATTATTTATATACTTCACCCAACTACGTGCTTTGTCTCCATCCTTCTGCCGTGCATTTTTTTGATTAGTTTTCCCTCTCTTTTTTTTTTCTTCTGTATTTTTATCTCATCTATGATCTTTGCAAATTTTTGGCTAATTTTAATTACATATATAATTTGCTTAAATTATTTTTATGAGTAGTTCTTAATAAGCATCGTACTTAAAACAATTGAGGGTATTTTAGTAAACACAACAGTACAGTACGGTACAATACCGTCAAATTAAACCAAACAATAAAGATGTTATCTAACAACAGCAAACGATACAATCTATCCAAACATTGTATCCAGCAAAACGATACAATACAGTATAGTACAATACAATACATTATAAAACGATAGGTAACCATGATCCAAACAAGAGTGTTAAACTAAAACGTGACATGCATTTTGCTGTAACTGAAATCTGCAGATTAGATCAATTGAAGGTATCAAGTTTATATATTGACTGCATAAATTCAAAGTGTCCTTTTTCGTCTTTTTATCTGTTTAGAACAAAGCTGCCATACAAATGGTGCGGGTTTAGGCCGATCCTATCTGTATATATTTAGTGAAAATAATCTCTCGTACGCTCACTTACAATTTGAATCGAAGAAAATGACTTATAAATTTCATGTATTTTTTTACTAATCTTCTATAAAAAAGTCATATCAGGAAAATAATATTTCTAATGAACTACAAAGCTACACCTATATATTGACAACAAATAATGACGGACGTTCATAGTCCCTAGTATACTCCTATTTGGTTTTTTTCCCTTTTTGCATTTTAATATTGAAAACTTTCTCTAAGACTCCTTTATTCTAAACCATCCTGAAAAATTGGCAGATAAAAACTAAACAATTAAGTCTAATTAACCCCAAACAATTAAGTCCATTCATATTTTACCAACATCATATCATTAAGCAACTTTCGATACTTAATTAAGTTTACATTCCAGTGAAATTACAAAGTTATTAGGCCAAATTAGCAGAAGCCCTGCATTTCTTCTTATTACTAGACGATCAATGGAAATTTCTAACCAGCACAGCTGTCAAATAATGTAAAACACAAATAACTGTTGAAGAATCATATAGTTTTTATCCCTGAACTAAAAGTGACCAATTTTGCATACTTAAAGGACTATAAATGTCTAATAGTAGTGTCACGACCCGGATTTTCCACCATCGGGATCGTGATGGCGCCTACTCGTGGTAGCTAGGCAAGCCAACTTATTTACCTTTTCATCACTAAACAATTAATTTAGCAGTTTATAACAGCAATTTAGAACTTGAAGTTTAACAAGAATAAAAGCGGAAGTCTGATTTATAAAAAAAAAAAAAACGAATCAAAACGCAAAACCGTCAATAATAGCCTCTACCCAAGATTTGGTGTCATATTACTCACGAACCACTAGGAATAAACTAAATACAAACGTTTGAAAGAAATATAACAGCTGTCTGTCTCGAAAACAATGAGGCAACAGTCAAAAGGAAAACATAAAGAAGAGACGCCGGGCCTGCGGACGCCTGCAAGACTACCTCGTCTCGTGAATAAGAAAGTCTGCTCCCGAACTACTACTGCTGCTGCTCCTCAAAACCTGGACCTGTGCAAAAATGCACAGAAGTGTAGCATCAGCACAACCGACCCCATGTGCTGGTAAGTGTCTAGCCTAACCCCGGCGAAGTAGTGACGAGGCTAGACCGGACACCACATGAACCTGTGCAGCTATAAATATACAACGGAATCGAAATACCAGGCAAGTAACAATGTGGGAGGGGAAACATGCTATGGGGAGATTAATCCAAAGTAACCAACTAAAGCAGCTTAGAATTACAGTGAGCAAGAACCAATACTCAAAATAAACACATGGTATCAGTAACTGTTGCGGCGTGCAACCCGCTCCATAATTACTATTGTTGCGGCGTGCAACCCGCTCCACAAATACCACTGTTAAGGCATGCAACCCGACCCATATCATTTATCATGTATCATTGTTGCGGCGCGCAACCCGATCCTCACCTTTTACTGTTGCGGCGTGCAACCCGATCCTCAATATCATTGTTGCGGCGTGCAACCCGACCCTCACATATTATTGTTGCGGCGTGATCCTCAATATCATTTAACAGTCCGACTCCCCAAACAACAGTCACAATTAAGGGGCATAAAAATAAGTAAATATTTGACAAACATCCGGGCAAGGGAAAGAATCCAACAAGTTCAACCAAACGTCCCGGCAAGGGAATAATCAACAACGTTTTCTCTTTCTTACTTTTCTTATCTCAAGATATCACTGGAGCCCAAGCTCATCAAAATTTCTTATCTCATATTCCGTCACAAACAACAATATAACGACTTCCCAGTAAGGGAACAAAACATCATCTCAAATATTCTGGCAAGGGGATTACTATAACCACATTAGTTCCAACATCTAACCACCACATTAGTTCCAACATCTAACTACCACAGCTATAACCAACCTATTACCACACTTGACCACCTCAGCTATATATAACCGACTACCACACCCAACCAACCCATCTATAACTATAGTCATCATATGACACAAGGAAACATTAACCTGAGCGACCCTAGTATCCGTTAAGAACACAATGCAGAGGAATCACAACCCAACAACAGCCCGCCAAGAGGGCAACATAATGATCTCTCCTCTTTCTCACTTTTACTTCACAATTCTTTTTCACAACTCGAGCAGATGCTCCAGAGGTTCAATTATCACTTATACTTTCGCAATTCGTTCTACAACTGGAGCCGACGCTCCTCAATGAATCAAGTCATTTCATATACTTTCAATATTCGTATCACAGTTCGAGCCAATGCTCCTAGGAATCAAATTATCATATCACCATTCACATGTTATTCACAATATATGAAAATACTCCAATAAACATGAAATTCACAATAAGTTCATGATAATCACATTATAAGGACTCACGGTCATGCTAGACACCAATGTATAGATACTCGTCACCATGCCTATACATCGTACTCGATCACATAGCAGTTAGCAACAAGACTCAACTCCTATTCCCTCAAGCTAGGGTTAAACCAAACACTTACCTCAATGCCTTGAAATCCACTTAATCCTCAACTATCGCTTTACCTCGTGGTTCCACCTCCGATTCGCTCGAATCTAATCACAAATTGTTCAATTACTTTAATAAACACTATATGAATTAGTTTGAAGGCATAAAAACGATTTTCCCAAAGTTTTACTCAAAATTTCCCAAAACGCCCCCGGGCCCACGTGGTCAAAACTCGAGGTTCGGACCAAAACCCGATTACCCATTCCCCCACGAACTCAAATATGTAATTTGTTTTGAAATCGGACCTCAAATCGAGGTCCAACTCCCCAATTTATAGAAAACCTAGGTTCTACCCAAAAATCCCAACTTCACCCATGAAAATCTTTGATTTCAAGTGGAAAACATGTTTAATGATGTTAAAAGTTGAAAGAATTGAGTAAAAATCAACTTACAAATGATTTGGGATGAAGTTTGCTCTTGAAAAATCGCCTATGGTGTTTGGGTTTTGAAAGAATGGTGGAAAGTGATGAAAATTCGACTAAGTATAAAATTTGCTGGGCCTCGGATATGGGAAATGCGAACATAGGTTCGCATTTGCGAACAAAACAGGCGTGGGAATTGCGAACATTTTAGTTCGCATTTGCCAACTTGGGTCTGGAGGCAATTTTCGCATTTGCGAAAATTTCAATGCATTTGCGATGACCCCTACCTCGCATTTGCGAGCCTTTCTCCCGCATTTGCGAACACAGAGGGAAAACTGGGGCTACGCATTGCGAAGGAGACGTCGCATTTGCGACTGGGCGGCCCTCGGCATATGCGAACATATGTCGCACTTTGCGACCCANCATTTGCGATCATTTCTTCACAAATGCGAAGACACCAGCACTGAAAATACCAGATTTTTAAAAATGAGAAAATGCAATCTGATGTCTATCCAAAACTCACCCGAGTCCTCGGGGCTCCAAACCAAACATGCACACAACCTCAAAAACATCCCACGGACTTACTCGCGCGACCAAATCGCCAAAATAACATCAAAATCATTGAATCAAGCCTCAAAACACATGATTCTTCTTCTAAACTTCATAACCTTTCAAGCTTTGAACTCATAGTCCGAAACACGTCAAACGGCGTCCGATTTCGACCAAACTTTACAGAAGGCGCTTAACACATATTTAAGACTTGTACCGGGCGTCGGAACCAAATACGAGCCCGATACCATAGTCTTTTAATCAATTTTCATTTCCATTTTCCTTAATAATTTCAGATAAATAATTTCACGGAAAAATTCATATCTCGGGCTCTAGACCTCGGAGTTCGATTCCGGGCACATGCCCGAGTCCCATATTTTTCTACGGACCTTCCGGGACCGTCCAATCTCGGGTCCGGGTCCGTTTACAAAAAATATTGACCAAAGTCAACTATAATCATATTAATATCAAAATTCTTCAAATTTTTTCGCGGAATTCACATATTTCAACATAAAAGATTTCCGGCTACGCGCCCGGACTGCGCATGCAAATCGAGGCAAGTAAAAAATGAGGTTTTAAGGTCTCGAAAGCACGGAATGGATGAGGAACTAGGTGATGACCCTTTGGGTCGTCACAAGTAGTATATAGTAGGGACCAAAATAAACAGTATTCATAACTAGAGGTGCAATCAAATGTACACAGTAACTAAGGAAAGAGATAGAGAATTCATGTACTTCGCTATATCCCGTGGATATGAGGGATCATTAGTTCTCTCTAACTGTGATTTCCCATGTGCCGTACTATACCGCTAAGGAAAACAAACAAGAACCAGAGGAGAAGGAAATGAAAAGTATGGATTAGTTGAAAGTAGGGGTGTATATGGATCGGGTTAGTTTGGCTTTTATCAAAACCAAACAAAACTGATTATATCGGTTTGGATTGGTTCGGTTTTGTCGGATTTTTCGGGTTTTCGGTTTTTTTTTTGTTACATGAATATTATTTTAATCTTCCTTTATTAAAGTTATAGATAAAATTTAGAAGTGAAAATATATTTATTAAAAATAAAAAAATTAACAAAAATATTATCTATTAAAGTGTTCTTATGGGAGAATTATTTTTAGTAACACATAATTAATAGTTTTTCTTAGTCATCTACAAGTAATTTTTGGTTGATGTACGCTTTCAAGGTTAACCGAATTTATAATTAAACATCAAAATTAATATGATGCCTAAATAATGATATGTTCTACGTAATTTTAGATTATTGAAATATCACTTCAAATTCGAAAAAGATATAAGAAATCTTGACATATGAATATGAAAGAACAAGGAGATGATGGACGCATTTCAATAACACATAGTAATAAGAAAGTAATACAATCTATTATTTAAAGCAAATAAAATGAATGCACTTTATAGTTTTATTAAATATTATGTCTCACGAGAAGATATCAAATATTTCTAGACTATCTTTTAAACAAAAGTCTATATAAAATCTTAAAAGTATATATAAAAATTATATATTTGTATGTCGGTTTGGTTCGTTTTTTTTTTACTCAATTCCAAACCAAATCAAACCAAACCTAGTCGGGTTTTTTAATCGGTTTGGTTTGACTTTTCGGTTTGGTGCGATTTTGCCGGTTCGATTTGTACACCTCTAGTTGAAAGAGCTACTCCTTCCAGCTGAGTGAAGTCGCGCCGCTTCTTCTAATAACAGAGAGCGAAGTCCTAACAAATCACTTTCTACAATATGATGTTATTGGTGTAACAAGAAAGTGGGATTTCCCTTTAGATTGACCTTCATATGCACCCATCTACTTCCTCTGCTAAAATTTAGTTTCAACCATAGCCTTTTCTCTGTTTCAATTTTGGCAACCTGCAGACATAGCACTTATGTGTAATTAAGCAGATCGAAGAAGAGTATGTGGTTGTTACTCTCGCTTGCTCCTTTTACCTTTTGTATATCAATCTCAACCTGATATTACATATAAGAGATATTCAAGTGAAGTAGAAGCTCGTTCAACCTTTGTCACCACAAACTTGACTTCAAGCTACCAACAAAATGTGATATGTAATTAGCTAACGTAGGTGAATCTTGCTCAAAGCACCTGGAAATAACATTCATACATCATAGTGAACATTGATAAACAATCTGATCCTACATATAATAGATATTCAAGGAAAGAAGAAGCTTGTTCAACCTTTTTCACGACAAACTTAACTTCAAACTATCAACAAAATGTGATATGCAATAGGTTAATCTTGCTCAAAACACATGGAAATAACATTGGTACATCATAGTAAACATTGACAGACAGGGAAAAGCCACGCTTCATCATTTGGATCGCCGCGGTCAACAAGGGGTAGGTTAGTCGTTCCGAACATCTGCATTCACTTCCTGAAAGTTCAATAGTACATAACAATTAACAAAGCGCCTCACAAATTAAAAGCAGTGTGGATTAAGAAACCACCTCATGCAGGGTTATCACTTTCATTAGAAACTGCATGCCTTGTTAAAGCAAAAACACGAGCTCCATTTCGCTACCGACTATATTTATGACATGTCAAAAGTTGCTCTCGTTCATCACTTAAGCAATGAACACACACAAATTTACTGGTCTTAACTTATCTGATGTCTTGATGGAACAGAGTGCAACTTCAAGTGGTATACATCTAGTTTATTATAAGTACTAAATGGATACAACTTAACAATAAATCACAAAGCAATACTCATGCTGATCCAACACATTATGCTGCACAAAAATGGATAGGTAGCTCATAGTTGATTTAAATCTGGAGATTTACGTAGAAACCATCTAAGTTGCGCGGACTCTTCGTTTTTGGTGCCGCACCCGTCTCGATACGGGTGCGGGATACGTCCCGGATTTGGTCAACTCACTTCGGATACTTTGACCCGAGTCCATCCACAAATT